GACATCGTCTAGAAGTGTAACAACTAATGTTACAGCAACTGCTGAGCCAACAACGAGAATGACACCAGCGACATCGTCTGCAACTGTGACAGCTAATATTACAACAAGTGCTGAACCAACAGCAACAATGATACCAGCAACATCATCTGCTACTGTGAAAACTAATGTTACAACAATGACACCAGCAACATCGCATACAAGTTTGACAACTAATATTACAAAAAGTGCTGAACGAAGAACAACAATGACAGCAGCGACATCATCTGCCACTGTGACAACTAATGTTGCAATAAGTGCTGAGGCAACAACGACAATGACACCGACATCGTCTGCAAGTGTAACAACTAAGGTTACAACAAGTTCTGAACCAAAAGCGACAATGACACCAGCAGCATCGCCTACAAGTGTGCCAGCCTATGTTACAACAAGTGCCAAACCAATAACAACAACAACAACAACAACAGTGACATTGCCTACAGGTGTGACAACTAATGTTACACCAACTGCTGAACCAGCAACAACAATGACAGCAGCGACATCTCCTACAAGTGTGAAAACTAATGTTACAACACGTGCTGAACCAACAACATCAATGACACCAGCGGCATCGCCTACAAGTGTGACAACCTATGTTACAACAACTGCCAAACCAACAACAACAACAACTCTAGCGGCATCGCCTACAAGTGTGACAACTACTGTTAAAACAACTGCTGAACCAGCAACAACAATGACACCAGCAACATCTCCTACAAGTGTAACAACTAATTTTCCAACAAATTCTGAAGCAACAGCGACAATGAAAACAGGGGCATCGTCTAGAAGTGTAACAACTAATTTTTCAACAAATGCTGGAGCAACAGCGACAATGAAAACAGCGGCATCGTCTGGGAATGTAACAACTAATGTTACACCAACTGCTGAGCCAGCAACGAAAATGACACCAGCGACATCGTCTGCAAGTGTGACAGCTAATGTTACAACAAGTTCTGAACCAACACCAACAATGATACCAGCGACATCGTCTAGAAGTGTAACAACTAATGTTACAGCAACTGCTGAGCCAACAACGACAATGACACCAGCAACATCGCCTACCAGTGTGACAACTAATGTTACAATAAGTGCTGAACGAAGAACAACAATTACTCCAGCGACATCATCTACAAGTGTGGCAACTAATGTTACAACAAGTGATGAACCAACAACAGCAATGACACTAGCGACATCGTCTACAAGTGTGACAACTAATGTTACAAGAGCTGCTGAACCAACAACAACAGTGACACCAGCGAAATCGTCTACTAGTGGGACAACTAGTGTTACAACAACTCCTGAACCAACAACGAGAATAACACAAGCAGCATCGCCTACAAGTGTGACAACTAATGTTACAACAAGTGCTAAACCAACAAGGACAATGACACCAGCAACATTGGCTACAAGTGTGACAACTAATGTTACAACAAGTGCTAAACCAACAAGGACAATGACACCAGCAACATTGGTTACAAGTGTGACAAATGATGTTACACTAAGTGATGAACCAACAGCAACAATGACATCAGCGACATCGCCTGCAAGTGTGACAACTAATGTTACTACAAGTGCTCAACCAACAAGGACAGTGACACCAGCAACATTGACTGCAAGTGTAACAACTAATGTTACAACAAGTGCTCAACCAACAGCGATAATGACACCAGCAGCATCATCTTCCACTGTGACAACTAATGTTACGACAGATGCTGAACCAAAAACAACAAGGACACCACCGACATCGTCTACAAGTATGAGAACTAATGTTAAAACAAGTGCTGAACCAACAACAACAATGACACAAGCGACATCATCTACAAGTGAAACAACTAATGTTACAACAAGTGATGAACCAACAACAACAATGACATCAGCGACATCGCCTGCAAGTGGGATAACAAATGTTAAAACAAGTGCTGAACCAACAGCGACAAGGACACCAGCAACATCGTCTGGAAGTGTGATAACTAATGTTAAAAGAAGTGCTGAACCAACAACAACAGTAAAACCACCGGCATCGCCTACAAGTGTGACAACTAATGTTAAAACAACTGCTGAACCAACAACAATGACACCGAAGACATCGGCTACTAGTGTGACAACTAATGTTGCAACAAGTTGTGAACCAACAACGACAATGACACCAGCAACATCGTCTACAAGTGTGACAACTAATGTTAAAAGAAGTGCTGAACCAACAACAACAACAACACTAGCGACATCTCCTACAAGTGTGACAACTAATGTTGCAACAAGTGCTGAACCAACAAGGACAATGACACCAGCGACATTGGCTATTAGTGTAACAACTAATGTTACAACAAATGCTCAACCAACAGCGAGAATGACACCAGCAGCATCATCTACCACTGTGACAACTAATGTTACAACAAATACTGAACCAAAAACAACAATGACACCAGCGACATCGCCTAGAAGTGTGACAACGAAGTTTACAACAAATGCTGAACCAACAACTAAAATGAGAAAAGAAACATCGTCTACAAGTGCGACAACTAGCGTTAAAACAAGTGATGAACCAAAAGCGACAATAACACTAGCAAGATCGTCTACAAGTGTGACAACTAATGCCACAACAAGTGATAAAACAAAAGCGACAATGACATCATCAACATCGTTTACCGCTGTGACAACTAACGTTAAAACAAGTGCTGCGGCAACAACAACAATGACAACACCAACATCGTCTACCAGCGGGACAACTAATATTACGACATATGATGAACCAACAGCGACAATGCAAGCAGCAAGATCTTCTCTAGATGTGACACGTGGTGTTGCAACAAGTGATAAGCCAACAACGACAGTGATGCTAAAAACGCCATCTTTTATAAGTGTGATATTTAAGGCGACCTTTTTAAGTGATTCACTGACAACAACTACTGAAACCTCTTTAAGTATTGAGCCAACCGGGGCAATGACACCAACAAGGTCTTTCTTTGTAAGTGACATGTCTGAGGTTGCTAGAAGTGATTCAGTAACGAGGACAGTAGTAACATCAGTGGCTCTCTCTTTGACTCAAAGAAATGAGGCTACGAGGAGTGAAGCCGGAACGACAACATTGGATGTACCAAAATCGACAGAGAAGTCGATATCGTCTCCTACAAGTGCAATATCTGATGCCGCAACCAATTATGCAACAACAACTCCAGGAACAACCGCAGTGGTACTAGGATTTCGTTCCTCTTCGGACGTATTTAGAAGTGCGACTCCGAAGACACTAACACGAACATCTTCTTACCTTTTGGTCTTTTCAACGTCCCTGAAATTCTCTCCTATGAAGACTTGGACTGTTGGGACAACTACAAGTACACCGTCCTCATCGTCTTGTTCAAAGGGGTATATTGGAGTAGATTGCACAGGTAAGGCTATCCGCTAGATACTTTTATTACAATGATTTTTCTGACCTCATGTTACATTCGACTTCCATTTCATTTTCGTTCGACCAATGTGATAGCACGTCATGGTGTTTAAGAACCGAACAATAAGAGAAAGTGGCTTTGCGTAAGAGTGAGGTAAATTTAGATTAATTTTCAGCAACAGCTTAACAAATAGCCACGGTATCTGTGTCATAAAGAGCGAAATTTGCTCTTAAATGGGTCCTTTGCAGCTAACATTGACATGATGCAAAATGTCAGTGCCATGCTGCGAGAGCAACAGAAGTAATCAAACAGAAGTAAAACTTGGGTGGTCAAGATTGCTTTGTTTCGGATATCCCAATACCATGTGAACGGTAGCTGCAAGGGGCCCTGCATTGTCCACTTCCGAACACAATTTTTAAATCTTCCAATATATTGCTTTTTGTAACACGTTTAGAAATTGACCAATGCCATCCAAACCCATGCCGGAATGGTGGAACGTGCGCGCAACAAATAAACTTGTTCACTTGTGAATGTGCAGTGGAATATGAGGGCGACAAATGCGAAAACGGTAAGAAATAGACAAGCTTCCATTTTTCTAGGCATTCATTAATCTTTCATAATTTTGTATGTCCGAATGTGGATTTTTGAAGTAGATAAAACACTTTAATCAAATCTTAACTTCTTGTTGGACAATTCAAAGGAGACGTGCTTGTGTAAAATGAAAACCTCAATACAATCTTGTGTCGTATTTTTCTCTTTTTAGAGAAACCACCTCCAAAAAAGTATAAAAGCACAGTTAAAGTGCAGGCGAGCTATCGACCATCTTACAGTAACCTGGATTCATCTGAATCCCGCGTCTTTGTTACGAATTTTTCTGACACGGTTGAATCTTTCTTCCGTGATGCCCGACTGCCCGGGTTCCGAAGTATTCAGGTGACAAGGCTATCAAATGGAAGTGTGGTGGTGGAGTTTATCATTCTAGTAGAGCACAATTCCAATACGACAAAGGATGCCATAGTTACCGCTCTGATAGATGGGAACAGCACAGGAACTCTTGGAGTGGTGTTAATTGGGAATATCAACATAGAGGAAATTATAGAGTTGTCTACTACAGACATTCCAGCTACGAGAGCTGTAGAAAAAGGTAACAAAGGTGCTTTGTAACATGTACAGTAGAACTTTGTTTACCAGAGCCATCTGTGGGCCACCAAATTTAATTGGATCGATGAAATACGGTGGGCATTTCAAAGGGGTCCTTATAACAAAGAAACGAAAACAACTGAGTGACATTTTATTTGGGCCAAAAGACCGCAAGAGATATAACGAGGCCTTTTGTTCAACATTTTTAAGTCTTTTAACTTTTTTTCTACAAATCCCATTTTCACGGAAACGATTACAAAAGGCCGCGATATTCAGCCATATTAACTAGTAATACTGATATATATAGAAGAGTAAACAAGGCGTTCCGAGATTGACATCCTTGGTTTTCGTTTGAACCTCAAAAAGTTTTGACAATGAGGCTACTGGGATATATTTACTGTTATTTCAACAGAATCTGATCAACTCGAGAAATGGATCATCGTGACGATATTAGCTGGAGCAGTTGTCACCGTTCTCATTCTGATAATTGTCATTTTAGCTGTAAGTATTTCCCTCCATTGTGGTAATCAGTCTTGTAAATTAGAATCAATCTCCTCGAGGTGTTGACAAACAAAACTGATTTACGTCTTTAAGGGAAGTTTCCGCGGCCTACCAGAATCTTCCGTTCACTGTCACAGTTATCCTCATCGTTTCGACTGGGACACAAGGCCATGAACGGAGGATAAATGTACTGAGTACCGTGCACCCATGCCTCGAGCTCATTTCAAGGGCGGATCCAGCGAACCAGGCTTGATCTAGAGCAAGGATCGCGATCACCTGTTAGGGCATCCTGACATAACGATTTGGGGCAGGGGCGAGGGCGGGGTGGCGGTGCATGAGGGAAGAGGGTAACCTAGCATGCAATCCAGGAGAACAAACATTATTCCTTGTCGCTTCATCCCATAGAACCAGGATTATTGAAAACGACAGCACCAGTAAATTATACAATCTGCGGCTCGTTGTGTTCCTAAACTTAGGCCGCAGCTTACCTTATCATTACCATTAAATTGTGTTAATTTATGTCATAAACCCACAGTTAAAATACAGACGTGTTGTCAGAGCAAACAACGACGAGCTCAAACTGAGGAATGGAAATTGGAAATTCATGAAAGATAATCAAGGCACTATGCGAGCTACCGCTTGCAAGCTGGTAAGCAGTGGAAATTCCCGGGTTAAATATTCGTCAGAAAGAGATCAATGACCAACATTTTAATGTATAATAAAGAAGACAAGAGGTTTGGGAAAGATGTATCTCTCGGTAGTATAAGACAGATGAATATAAACCACCTGATTTTAAATGAATTCATAAACACCGGCTGAATAATTTAATCCAGGACTGGTTTGATGAGATGCTGGCTATGTAGTTCATGAGGGTTTAATTAATGAGATACATGCCATAATGGTAAAGGAAGGATTTTGATCGAGATTTGTCCAGATTTCTATCATTGATTATAAAATATCTAAGTTAATACGCACGCTTTCATTGGTTGATAGGTGTGTTAAGATGAGAGTATGTAAACACGATTGTGACGTTTTAGATTCGGGCATATTCTAGAGAAATATTTTATCAGAGCAACAGAGCACGTTTTCCGTGTATACATAGTCTATACTTAACACTTGCGAGATTGGAAGAATTCCTGACAGTTATGCAAACATGTGACTGCGTCTCTGGTTTGCATAACTGTCTCGAATTCCCCGAGCCCCCATCGTGTTTAGATGAGGCGATGTAAACACAGGAAAAGTGCTCTATTGCTTAGATGCCCGCCATTTTTCTGTCTCGTTTTTGCTGTTCACTTGTCTTGATTATCTTTAGCTGTGTTTCTGTTGTTGTTTTGAAGAAGGACCTGAGAAATTGTATTTATTTTTATCTTTCACTAATTAGGAGCTACAGATGTCACTGGCACAGCTAAATCATTGTAACAATAATAAATAAATAAATGCGTCGGTCTGTGAAACTGACAGTAATGGTCCGACGAGATACAAGATGGAAAATACAGAAGGAGAACTTAGCGTTTCTGGACACAAACTAATTAGCGCCTTCTAATTGCTCAGTAGGATTAGGTATTCACCACGATTGGTCTGTCGGCAGCAACCTCGTTCCCAGGGTCTCTCTTCTTCCAGGGGGCGGAAAGAAGAGAGACCCTGGGAACGAGGTTTACAACAGCCCTCCTCCCTAGCAACATGTCTTTCCTAATAGCTCGTTTAGGAGGGAACTAAGAGCTCGATTGACTCGAAGCTTGCAGACGTTTCTTACTCCTTGTTTAAAAATAGTACCTAATTAAAGGTCTTGATAGTTTTATCAAATTCTCGTTTAAGGAATGAAACCTTCTTTTCTATCTCTTTATACTTCATAATATTTGTCGTAATTTTTCTAGTAGAGAATTAAACCCGAGCCGCAAGATATGAAAAAGGAACCCTCAGGAATCTGTGGCTATTTTATACTGTATTAATATAATACTTATAAATTTTAATATCTCTTTCAAGGGCCTATTATGCGCCAAATATTTTGCCGTTAAAGCGTCTTTCTAGTCATTTTCAAATAGTTAGAAACTCGAAAGAAACAATTTGCGAAATTTGTAGAAAAATCCTATTCGTTGGGGAGTTGTATAATCGTTTTCTAATAGTTTTGGAAAGAGTACTTATTTTTTCTAAGCTCACATAAAATATGCACCTAGGGTAATTTTTTAGAATGCCTGAATAAAACTAATTTTTTGCATTAGTGAAAACTTTGAAGCCCTGGGATTATATTCGTTTCACAGTTTTCATTTGCCTACTTTGGCGGTGGGGGTGGGGGGTGGGGGAAAGGGGTGTGGGGGNAACAGCAACAATGACATCAGCGACATCGCCTGCAAGTGTGACAACTAATGTTACTACAAGTGCTCAACCAACAAGGACAGTGACACCAGCAACATTGACTGCAAGTGTAACAACTAATGTTACAACAAGTGCTCAACCAACAGCGATAATGACACCAGCAGCATCATCTTCCACTGTGACAACTAATGTTACGACAGATGCTGAACCAAAAACAACAAGGACACCACCGACATCGTCTACAAGTATGAGAACTAATGTTAAAACAAGTGCTGAACCAACAACAACAATGACACAAGCGACATCATCTACAAGTGAAACAACTAATGTTACAACAAGTGATGAACCAACAACAACAATGACATCAGCGACATCGCCTGCAAGTGGGATAACTAATATTAAAACAAGTGCTGAACCAACAGCGACAAGGACACCAGCAACATCGTCTGGAAGTGTGACAACTAATATTAAAAGAAGTGCTGAACCAACAACAACAATGAGACCACCGGCATCGCCTACAAGTGTGACAACTAATGTTAAAACAACTGCTGAACCAACAACAACAACAACAACAATGACACCGGCGACATCGGCTACTAGTGTGACAACTAATGTTGCAACAAGTTGTGAACCAACAACGACAATGGCACCAGCAACATCGTCTACAAGTGTGACAACTAATGTTAAAAGAAGTGCTGAACCAACAACAACAACAACACTAGCGACATCTCCTACAAGTGTGACAACTAATGTTGCAACAAGTGCTGAACCAACAAGGACAATGACACCAGCGACATTGGCTATTAGTGTAACAACTAATGTTACAACAAATGCTCAACCAACAGCGAGAATGACACCAGCAGCATCATCTACCACTGTGACAACTAATGTTACAACAAATACTGAACCAAAAACAACAATGACACCAGCGACATCGCCTAGAAGTGTGACAACGAAGTTTACAACAAATGCTGAACCAACAACTAAAATGAGAAAAGAAACATCGTCTACAAGTGCGACAACTAGCGTTAAAACAAGTGATGAACCAAAAGCGACAATAACACTAGCAAGATCGTCTACAAGTGTGACAACTAATGCCACAACAAGTGATAAAACAAAAGCGACAATGACATCATCAACATCGTTTACCGCTGTGACAACTAACGTTAAAACAAGTGCTGCGGCAACAACAACAATGACAACACCAACATCGTCTACCAGCGGGACAACTAATATTACGACATATGATGAACCAACAGCGACAATGCAAGCAGCAAGATCTTCTCTAGATGTGACACGTGGTGTTGCAACAAGTGATAAGCCAACAACGACAGTGATGCTAAAAACGCCATCTTTTATAAGTGTGATATTTAAGGCGACCTTTTTAAGTGATTCACTGACAACAACTACTGAAACCTCTTTAAGTATTGAGCCAACCGGGGCAATGACACCAACAAGGTCTTTCTTTGTAAGTGACATGTCTGAGGTTGCTAGAAGTGATTCAGTAACGAGGACAGTAGTAACATCAGTGGCTCTCTCTTTGACTCAAAGAAATGAGGCTACGAGGAGTGAAGCCGGAACGACAACATTGGATGTACCAAAATCGACAGAGAAGTCGATATCGTCTCCTACAAGTGCAATATCTGATGCCGCAACCAATTATGCAACAACAACTCCAGGAACAACCGCAGTGGTACTAGGATTTCGTTCCTCTTCGGACGTATTTAGAAGTGCGACTCCGAAGACACTAACACGAACATCTTCTTACCTTTTGGTCTTTTCAACGTCCCTGAAATTCTCTCCTATGAAGACTTGGACTGTTGGGACAACTACAAGTACACCGTCCTCATCGTCTTGTTCAAAGGGGTATATTGGAGTAGATTGCACAGGTAAGGCTATCCGCTAGATACTTTTATTACAATGATTTTTCTGACCTCATGTTACATTCGACTTCCATTTCATTTTCGTTCGACCAATGTGATAGCACGTCATGGTGTTTAAGAACCGAACAATAAGAGAAAGTGGCTTTGCGTAAGAGTGAGGTAAATTTAGATTAATTTTCAGCAACAGCTTAACAAATAGCCACGGTATCTGTGTCATAAAGAGCGAAATTTGCTCTTAAATGGGTCCTTTGCAGCTAACATTGACATGATGCAAAATGTCAGTGCCATGCTGCGAGAGCAACAGAAGTAATCAAACAGAAGTAAAACTTGGGTGGTCAAGATTGCTTTGTTTCGGATATCCCAATACCATGTGAACGGTAGCTGCAAGGGGCCCTGCATTGTCCACTTCCGAACACAATTTTTAAATCTTCCAATATATTGCTTTTTGTAACACGTTTAGAAATTGACCAATGCCATCCAAACCCATGCCGGAATGGTGGAACGTGCGCGCAACAAATAAACTTGTTCACTTGTGAATGTGCAGTGGAATATGAGGGCGACAAATGCGAAAACGGTAAGAAATAGACAAGCTTCCATTTTTCTAGGCATTCATTAATCTTTCATAATTTTGTATGTCCGAATGTGGATTTTTGAAGTAGATAAAACACTTTAATCAAATCTTAACTTCTTGTTGGACAATTCAAAGGAGACGTGCTTGTGTAAAATGAAAACCTCAATACAATCTTGTGTCGTATTTTTCTCTTTTTAGAGAAACCACCTCCAAAAAAGTATAAAAGCACAGTTAAAGTGCAGGCGAGCTATCGACCATCTTACAGTAACCTGGATTCATCTGAATCCCGCGTCTTTGTTACGAATTTTTCTGACACGGTTGAATCTTTCTTCCGTGATGCCCGACTGCCCGGGTTCCGAAGTATTCAGGTGACAAGGCTATCAAATGGAAGTGTGGTGGTGGAGTTTATCATTCTAGTAGAGCACAATTCCAATACGACAAAGGATGCCATAGTTACCGCTCTGATAGATGGGAACAGCACAGGAACTCTTGGAGTGGTGTTAATTGGGAATATCAACATAGAGGAAATTATAGAGTTGTCTACTACAGACATTCCAGCTACGAGAGCTGTAGAAAAAGGTAACAAAGGTGCTTTGTAACATGTACAGTAGAACTTTGTTTACCAGAGCCATCTGTGGGCCACCAAATTTAATTGGATCGATGAAATACGGTGGGCATTTCAAAGGGGTCCTTATAACAAAGAAACGAAAACAACTGAGTGACATTTTATTTGGGCCAAAAGACCGCAAGAGATATAACGAGGCCTTTTGTTCAACATTTTTAAGTCTTTTAACTTTTTTTCTACAAATCCCATTTTCACGGAAACGATTACAAAAGGCCGCGATATTCAGCCATATTAACTAGTAATACTGATATATATAGAAGAGTAAACAAGGCGTTCCGAGATTGACATCCTTGGTTTTCGTTTGAACCTCAAAAAGTTTTGACAATGAGGCTACTGGGATATATTTACTGTTATTTCAACAGAATCTGATCAACTCGAGAAATGGATCATCGTGACGATATTAGCTGGAGCAGTTGTCACCGTTCTCATTCTGATAATTGTCATTTTAGCTGTAAGTATTTCCCTCCATTGTGGTAATCAGTCTTGTAAATTAGAATCAATCTCCTCGAGGTGTTGACAAACAAAACTGATTTACGTCTTTAAGGGAAGTTTCCGCGGCCTACCAGAATCTTCCGTTCACTGTCACAGTTATCCTCATCGTTTCGACTGGGACACAAGGCCATGAACGGAGGATAAATGTACTGAGTACCGTGCACCCATGCCTCGAGCTCATTTCAAGGGCGGATCCAGCGAACCAGGCTTGATCTAGAGCAAGGATCGCGATCACCTGTTAGGGCATCCTGACATAACGATTTGGGGCAGGGGCGAGGGCGGGGTGGCGGTGCATGAGGGAAGAGGGTAACCTAGCATGCAATCCAGGAGAACGAACATTATTCCTTGTCGCTTCATCCCATAGAACCAGGATTATTGAAAACGACAGCACCAGTAAAGTATACAATCTGCGGCTCGTTGTGTTCCTAAACTTAGGCCGCAGCTTACCTTATCATTACCATTAAATTGTGTTAATTTATGTCATAAACCCACAGTTAAAATACAGACGTGTTGTCAGAGCAAACAACGACGAGCTCAAACTGAGGAATGGAAATTGGAAATTCATGAAAGATAATCAAGGCACTATGCGAGCTACCGCTTGCAAGCTGGTAAGCAGTGGAAATTCCCGGGTTAAATATTCGTCAGAAAGAGATCAATGACCAACATTTTAATGTATAATAAAGAAGACAAGAGGTTTGGGAAAGATGTATCTCTCGGTAGTATAAGACAGATGAATATAAACCACCTGATTTTAAATGAATTCATAAACACCGGCTGAATAATTTAATCCAGGACTGGTTTGATGAGATGCTGGCTATGTAGTTCATGAGGGTTTAATTAATGAGATACATGCCATAATGGTAAAGGAAGGATTTTGATCGAGATTTGTCCAGATTTCTATCATTGATTATAAAATATCTAAGTTAATACGCACGCTTTCATTGGTTGATAGGTGTGTTAAGATGAGAGTATGTAAACACGATTGTGACGTTTTAGATTCGGGCATATTCTAGAGAAATATTTTATCAGAGCAACAGAGCACGTTTTCCGTGTATACATAGTCTATACTTAACACTTGCGAGATTGGAAGAATTCCTGACAGTTATGCAAACATGTGACTGCGTCTCTGGTTTGCATAACTGTCTCGAATTCCCCGAGCCCCCATCGTGTTTAGATGAGGCGATGTAAACACAGGAAAAGTGCTCTATTGCTTAGATGCCCGCCATTTTTCTGTCTCGTTTTTGCTGTTCACTTGTCTTGATTATCTTTAGCTGTGTTTCTGTTGTTGTTTTGAAGAAGGACCTGAGAAATTGTATTTATTTTTATCTTTCACTAATTAGGAGCTACAGATGTCACTGGCACAGCTAAATCATTGTAACAATAATAAATAAATAAATGCGTCGGTCTGTGAAACTGACAGTAATGGTCCGACGAGATACAAGATGGAAAATACAGAAGGAGAACTTAGCGTTTCTGGACACAAACTAATTAGCGCCTTCTAATTGCTCAGTAGGATTAGGTATTCACCACGATTGGTCTGTCGGCAGCAACCTCGTTCCCAGGGTCTCTCTTCTTCCAGGGGGCGGAAAGAAGAGAGACCCTGGGAACGAGGTTTACAACAGCCCTCCTCCCTAGCAACATGTCTTTCCTAATAGCTCGTTTAGGAGGGAACTAAGAGCTCGATTGACTCGAAGCTTGCAGACGTTTCTTACTCCTTGTTTAAAAATAGTACCTAATTAAAGGTCTTGATAGTTTTATCAAATTCTCGTTTAAGGAATGAAACCTTCTTTTCTATCTCTTTATACTTAATAATAATTGTCGTAATTTTTCTAGTAGAGAATTAAACCCGAGCCGCAAGATATGAAAAAGGAACCCTCAGGAATCTGTGGCTATTTTATACTGTATTAATATAATACTTATAAATTTTAATATCTCTTTCAAGGGCCTATTATGCGCCAAATATTTTGCCGTTAAAGCGTCTTTCTAGTCATTTTCAAATAGTTAGAAACTCGAAAGAAACAATTTGCGAAATTTGTAGAAAAATCCTATTCGTTGGGGAGTTGTATAATCGTTTTCTAATAGTTTTGGAAAGAGTACTTATTTTTTCTAAGCTCACATAAAATATGCACCTAGGGTAATTTTTTAGAATGCCTGAATAAAACTAATTTTTTGCATTAGTGAAAACTTTGAAGCCCTGGGATTATATTCGTTTCACAGTTTTCATTTGCCTACTTTGGCGGTGGGGGTGGGGGGTGGGGGAAAGGGGTGTGGGGG